CTTTTCCATTGTGTTTTCTAGCTTCAAGAGGCAGTCAGCATTCCTTGGCTCATGGCCTCATCTTCCATCTTCAAAGCCAGTAGCATAATATCATCTAGTCTCTTCCTCTGACTCTGATTTTTCTTCTCCCTCTTATAAGGGTGTATATGATTACTTTGGACACAACAACAATATTTAAAATAATCTCCTCCTTTCAAAATACTTAATTACACAGGCAAAGTCCCTTTTGACATGTAGAGTATTAAGACCTGGACATCTTGGTTTGGGGGTGCATTATTTTTACTACACCCATTGTTTGCAACATTGACTGCATGTTAAAATAAGTGGGGAGCTTTCAAAATTTCTGATACCTAGTCACCCTTTGGAACCAATAACATCAGATTTTCTAAGGGAATTTCTTTTTTTTGTTTGTTTGTTTGAGATAGAGTCTTGCTCTGTCACTCAGGCTGGAGTGCAGTGGCATACTCTCTGCTTACTGTAACCTCCGCCTCTTGGGTTTAAGCAATTCTCCTGCCTCAGCTTCCCGAGTAGCTGGGATTACAGGCATGTGGCACCATGCTGGGCTGATTTTTGTATTTTTGGTAGAGATGGGGTTTCACCATGTTGGTCGGGCTGTACTCAAACCCCTGACCTCATGATCTGCCCATCTCAGCCTCCCAAAGTTCTGGGATTACAGGCATGAGCCACCACACCTGGCATTCTAAGGGAATTTCTAAGGGTAAAACCCAGGGATCAGTATTTTTAAAACCTCTCTAGGTAATTCCAGTGTCCAGCCAAAGGTTTAGAACCACTGCTTTATCTTTCTGTTTCAGTCTTATACCTTCTGCCCTACCTCTAAGTTTGGTGTCCATGTCCGAACACATTTGGGATATCCTACTTGCAGAGCGATTATAAGGCACATGGAGAGCCATCAGCCAAGAGCAAAAGACCCCAGAAGTTTTATATTTATTGTCACATTTATCAAGAGTAGCTTGATTGTGCAGAATGCTACAAGGGGAAATGAAGGGAAGGAGACACCTTCCTTTCAAAATCAAGTTGTTTTTTACAAGGGAGGATGTTTCTTGTTTTGTTCATGTAACTCAGCAATTTCAGGAGTGTTACAATCCACACATGGGATTTGATCCATATTCCTCAGTCTCCTTTTTTTGAGTAAGCTTGAACCCTAAATTTATATAATACTTTCTAAAAGCATCTCTATATCTTTGCTTTTATCATAACTTTCTATGTGAAATTCCCTCTCCGTTTATTGTACAGCATTTATTTATTCTTTTTCCTTGAAAGCCAACTGGTTCAACCATTTTGTGCAGCATTTAAGGATGCTCTGGTCCTCAAGAAGCACTCAAATACTTAGCTATGATGTCATCTGGCATTTAGACTGAACTGTCTTTCATTCGTGTTTATCCTTTTATTTAAAATATTCTCAACCAGCTCATATGCTTCTTTAACCAGAGGCTGAGAAATAGGTTTTTTGTTCCCATTATATAAGTGTCTTGCACATGGTAGATGATCAGCAACTAGTTGCTGATGACTTGGAAGATTTTTCTTGTGTCTTAAAATTAGATGTCAGTTCTATCAAGGTGTTTTTGTTGTTGTTGTTGTTGTTGTTGTTTTTTTAACCACAAAGTGAGTTAAGACCAGTGTTATGTCATCATAGCTCACCAAGGTGGTTTCAGGTTAGATTACATTTGTCTGTATTATGTCAGTTTCTTTGAAGTCTGAGTTTTGTTCATTGGTAAGCCTAGCATCACAGAAGTGACAAAAATTATATCTGAAGGATACGTAAGAGCATACACCAGCCTAGATACTCAGATTGTTACTGCAATACAGATACATAGTTAGTGTAAGTCATGCAGTGGAAGCTATATATCCCAGAAGAACAATATATGGACATTTGTGGTGCCTTCTTAATGAGGCTTTTTTTCTGTCCAAGATGAAAGACTTTGGTAGATGGACAAAAATTTAGAACCTAATGTTATTGGTGATTTTGTTGTCAATATTTTTTAGAAGTACTGCAGGTCATAGTAAACATGAATAATACAACCAACAGATTGACATCTCTATATGTAATTTGTTAAATAGTTTACTTTTCTGACTTAGTATCCTATAATTGAAATATAACCATGACTGTTTTTATTATAATAATTTAACAAATCTTTAAGAAATCTTTTACCTGAATTAAATTAAAAATACTTTCAAGTTCAGTGCATTAAGAACATTCTATAAAACTCTGAAAATGGAATTGAAATAAGCATAAGATATGTGACATTCCAGGATCAATTGCCTTCTGGCACCATAACTCTTTCATGTTCAGTGTTATAAAACTTAACCTTCTTGCTCCCTAGAATGCTTTACATAGAGAATACTTACCCAGTTAAATAGAAAGTTAATTTAGCTTCTGAAATAACTAGAAGTTTTGAAAAAATCTATCAATGTCTATCTGACTACCTTAACTACCTATGTCTACTTTTGGACTTTCAGTTTTCATAATCGATGTTAATAATGATATTAATAAAGTAGAAATCAACAGAAAAGTCATGGTTCTGAAGATCAAAGAATTGTATGAACTTACGAATGGCTAGCTGATCTTGCTTTCTGTGTTGATGACCCAGAATCTGGCTCTTGTCAAGAAACTAGAGGTTTTAGACATTGAGAGACTGCACGTGAGGCTGAGACAGCCACCGGAATACCAGTGTATTAATTCCAGTAAGAATGATAATGCCCACATAGACCACAAATGCTAAGGTTTGTATAACAAAGGCATAAGCTCCTTATAGTCAAGCTACATATGAAACTAAGAAATAATTAAAAGTTTCTTTATTAGTTTAATAAATCACTTCACAAAGACCTTAAATATTTTAAGTCTGTTCTGTCTTCAAACTCTTTGTATGAGAATCAGAAGTTTGCCTGTAGAACGTGGAATCAGAATAGTGGGAATTAAATATCTCTAGTGTTCATGGGTTGTTATGTTTAGTAATATATCAGTTTGGTGTGCGATATGGTATTGCCAATGAAACTAGAACTATTCTAACTCTGTTAATTCTAGCTCCTCATATACTTCTCCATACTTAGAATATACTTGGAATAGGCTGTGGTCACGGGATTGGAAATGGTTAAAATTACTTGAACTTTGGTATCCAAATCTACTTCTCCTTTAGACAGTGCTGACATGGTAGCTTCCCGTTTCCTCCTCTTTATCTGTTTCTTTGGCTGATCAACACCTGTACTATTAAGATATTGTTTTGAATATTTGCTATTACATTTGGTCAATTTACTGCTAACTATTGCTAGGCAGAGAGCATTTCTCTAAGGGGAAACTTCGTATTTTAAGTTGATTTTATAGTTAAACCCTTTAGTAAGCAGTCTGTTTTCCTCATGTTTGAGTGTTTTTATTTTTTGAGGGTGGGTGAGTCACACTGTAGTTTAAGGTTGTTAAATAAACAGGGATTATTTACTGAGTGTGTATTCTGTGTTAAATAATACACTAGTTATTTTTCACAGGGTGCATAGTTCATTTTCAAAAAAATCTTATCAGGTAGGTATTTTTCACCTTAAAGATGAGTAAGTTGAGATAGAGAAATTAAGTCTCATAGCTAATAGGTGACAGAATCAGTATTTTAAATCTTATTTGTCTGATTCTAAGGTCCTTATGTTTTTCTCTTGTCCTGTTAGTTTTAATAAAATATCTTCAGTACTTGAATGCATTTTTTCTTTTGAAACTTCTAGCTCTAAAAATAATATTATTCAACAGTGATTAGCGGCATTTTGGGTAACGCTTTTTACATTTAAAAATCAGTGATCTATATGAAGAAAGTGTTGCGGTAGTTAGTAAATACTTCCCTGCCTCCCGTCTCACTGGTCCAGCATAAGAATGAATGATTTTGTAAACACTCTTTGTTTGCTGAACAAAAAAACAAAACAAAACAAAACAGAAAACAGCTTTTTCAGGGTCAGATTAAGTTATAAATACTACCAGAAAGTTTTTTAAATTAAATATTTTAACTTGATTTTATTTCTATGTAAATATTTTAATGAAAGGAAAAGGAATTTTCTATTTAAAATATTTGCCACATATATTTAACCTCTAATAATATTCTTAATCAGTCTCAGGTAGAAAGAAAATGTTGAATTCTTGTTCAGTTATGTAAGCTGATTTTCATGTAGGCTTTAGCTCATCAAAAAAAAAAAAACCATCTTTGGATTTTTTTTCTTTTATTTAAGTATTCTAAGGATAAATAAGTCAGAATTATTCACATCTAAATCATTCATGGAGTTGTGAAAATGGAATTGAATTATTTTAATATTCTCACCTATTTTGCTACCTCACAACTTTGTTATTATAACTAAATGCCAAAATTGGGTAGTTTGGGGAGGAGAGGGAAAGAAAATTCTCAAATGTTTTAAGTGAACAGTGATTATAAAATTGATTCAATCCTTAATAAGCTTTAAAAAAAATACTAAACTTTTTGTCAGTTGCTCTGAGGCTTGCTTATAACCAATATTTCTACATTTTACAGTAATCTTCCAACAAAATGCAAATTTGTTTTAATGGCAATCATTTATATATTGAGTCTTTTTTTGATGAAAGAAATTTTAGTTATTTCTCTTCTTTTAAACTGCCAACAGTATTTGCTATTCATAGATGTTCTGTCTTCAATAAGGTCTATCAGAGTGTAAAACTAGATGGGTATTTTTCTTTCCTCTAAAATGGAATGGTCTTTCATTATGCAGTGTTCTTAGGTGAATTCTCTTGTTTAAGAAGCCAGAATACAAGAGAGTGCTATATTAGTGTATTATTCTCACAACAAACAAGCACTGTTCTGTTGCTACCTGCTTGGCCATTGTTTCTGATTGTGTGTGCTTTGCAGTGGTATTTGGATGGTTTCCTGCTCTCTGCTAGCACAAAAAGGCATTTCTGTTACAATGGCCCCTAACCACACAATGACGGCATTAAGGATTTATGTGGAGGTTTCATTATTTTCTCCTCTTTTGTTCCTTCCAGGATGTCTTCCAAGCGACCAGCCTCTCCGTATGGGGAAGCAGATGGAGAGGTAGCCATGGTGACAAGCAGACAGAAAGTGGAAGAAGAGGAGAGTGACGGGCTCCCAGCCTTTCACCTTCCCTTGCATGTGAGTTTTCCCAACAAGCCTCACTCTGAGGAATTTCAACCAGTTTCTCTGCTGACGCAAGAGACTTGTGGCCATAGGACTCCCACTTCTCAGCACAATACAATGGTAGGTTTCTCATGGTTTATTGTGCCTACACTCACTTTTTGACCAGTCTACTCCTCTAATAGTTTGGCCTCAGTCCTTTGCTTTATAATTAACTTCTACTTAATAACCCATATACAAGATTTACCCCTGGCATCTTAGAATTCTTTAAAAGTAAATTTGTTCCAATAAGGAGCATAAGACATGCTATTTTTTGTTTCTTTTGTGTTTTTCAAGAATTCTTGCATTTGAGACACTTATAATTTAATTAGAGGGAAAAACAAACTATAAAAATAATGTTTAAGATATTTAAAATTATTCAGCATGAAAGTTTGATGTCATACTTTTTCTAATAAGTTTTTTTTTTTTTTTTCTGGTATAGTTACAATGAACAGAGTTTGAACATCTCCACCATGATAAATCAGTGTTTTCCTGTTTTTTGTTTTGCCGAGATTAGATTGTATAATATTCCTTAACAGTACTTGGCATTTCATAGAAGAATATATTTCGTAGAGACTATAGTTTTCTAATGTGACTACACTAATTTATAACTCAGGCCTATTCACACTGTTGTGTTGTTAATTCAGCAGTTTTTTTTTTTTTCATCCTATTCTGGAATATGCAACTCGGGGAAAATCCTCTGACTCCTCATTCTGGGGTCTAGATCACTGCAAAGGATTAGGAAACCAGGGCTTCGTGGATGAGAGGAAAGAAGGCAGCATAGCATCTCTGGCTGCAGCTTAAACACACACAAACACAAATAAGTCATTGTGGTTCCTCTGAGCAACTTAAATACATAGAATCATACTGTTAAGAAGGTTGCGGGGCACTTACCTGCCGTTAAAGGCATCCTCACATTTTCACCATGGCTGCTTGGCTGGATGTCACGTTTTTATGACTGCTCCACCTTTTCTACTTTAAGGGTGTTAGTGTTGTTAATTTGAACCCAAATTATACCAACAAAAATATATTTTATCTTATATTCTTCTACCTTTAAAAACAGCTCTGATTCTGCTAAATCTTTTTTTTTTTCCTCCAGGAAATTATTGCCTGTCATAAATATAATTAGTGCTGAAATATATCCACTTGTTCATGTTTTTGAATTACTGCATGTGGAATTAAATCAAGAAGAAGAATCAGATATCTTCTGATAGCTGTGTAACAGATCAATACTTTGATTTTTGTGTTAGATTTAAACATTGCCATTCAACATTTCAGCCTCATGGGTCAAGATTTCTTTGGGCATTTGATAATGCCAAGGTTTTTCCACCAATAATAGTGTTTTAGGCTGGGCACGGGTGACTCGCACCTGTAATCCCAGCACTTTGGGAGGCCAAGGCAGGTAGATCACTTGAGGTCAGGAGATCGAGACCAGCCTGGCCAAGATGGTGAAACCCTGTCTCTACTAAAAATGCAAAGATTAGCTGGGCATGGTGGTATGTTCCTGTAAGCCCAGCTACGTGGGAGGCTGAGGCAGGAGAATCACTTGAGCCTAGGAGGCGGAGGTTGCAGTGAGCCGAGATCATGTCACTGCACTTCAGCCTAGTGACAGTGAGACTCAATCTCGGGAAAAAAAAAAAAAAAAGAATAATGTTTTAGCTAACTCATATATCAGACATACGGAAGTGGTGTTTTTAGCACCTTTGAAGGTATAATAATTCATTTTACCTTCACGGTAATTCAGTGAAGTATTATTATTAATTCTGTTTTACAGATGAGAAAACTGAGGCAAAAAGAGGTTAAAAAACTTGTTCAGATCAGCTAATTCATGGGAAAACCAGAGTTTAACCAAGCAGTCTGTCTTTGTAGTCCATGCTTACAAACATTATGCATGCTGCTGCTTCACAAGGGCACAGGCATGTTTTGTATTCTGATTATCTCTTTCTTGGCGAGTTAAATCTTACTGCCCATCATTCCTCCTTCTCCTTTCTACGATGAGCTTATGTAAGTTATGTACAGTGATCAAACAGTTTACATTCCTCTTACAAAGGTTAGACTAGGAAAAGACGGGAAAAATGTGTAGTACACAGGTCAGCAGGGTGAGGAAGTCAGACATTCCATTTGGCATTGCATCACTCCTTATGCCTTTTCCACTTTCAATACTTTCATCACTGTCCTCTCTCAGAAAGTATCTAATTAGGAATACTGTGATAGTACCATAAATACAAACATAAACATTTGAAGAGATGAATATAGTTATGACTAGAACAATACCAAAAAGATAAAGGGAAGATGATTTTAAGTATACTCAACAATGGGCATGAGAAAACTATATTAAATTATTTATACATAATGTAGTTTCATGAGGGGATGCAGTGATGCAGATAGTTAATAAAATTTTCCATTTTTAATGGAGAATTCAGTCTAACTAAAAAACAATGAACTGCCTACGCTGTACCATGTTTTAAGCTAGATGCTATGGAAATAGATTTGAGTAAGATACAAACTTCCTTCCTCAGTGAACTTCATCTAAAACAGAAATTCTCTTTTATTTATTTATTTTTTTAGAGACACGTTTATGCAGGCTAGAGTTCAGTGATAACAACCATAGCTCACTGTAGCCTTGAACTCCAGGGCTCTAAAGTAGAATTTCTTAACTGGCGCCTATAGATCTCCTAAAAACAAATTGAGAATTCTGTGTATGTGAGCATATCAGAGGAGCACTATGGTTTCCACTGGATTCTTAAGTAGATCTGTAACCCAAAAATGTTAAGATCTGTTATTCTAGAAGTTACTACAGTTTGGATACAAATGATTCACCTTAGCTTTAGTAACATCAGCATATACTTTTGCCTTATCATATTTTTAATTAGTTTCTAAATTTGCTTCTGCTGCATATGTTTCTTGATTTCAGCTGTTTTTTCTCTCTTGGGTAGATAGATAGAAGAGTAACCTATATGATCTCAAACATTCAACCTCTTTCCAAACTTACTTTCAACTTCCACAAGACTTGTTTTCCTGAAAAAATGACTTGGATTCTTTATCTCACTTTTGACATTAATGTGTGCCCTGTTGCACATAGGAATTAGTCCAAAACTCCTTTTCTTAGGAAAAAAAAATCTCTATGGACTAGCATCAAACTGTGGCTTTAGTGTCTTCTATTAACACATCCTACTATGGACACAATGCCTTGGTGATGCCAAGCTTTTCACACATGTTCCTGAACATACCAGATGGCCTTTGAATGGCACAGTTTTATTCCTTCTACTTGGAAAACTCTCTGTTTTCATATGTTACCTTCCTGGTGAATTGTTTCTCCCACAAGACTCGGTTCAAAAATTGCTTTTCCTTAGATGCTTTTACTGACCTCCTAAGGCAAAATGGTTACTGCATTATTATTTTTCATCCATGACAATTATTTATATATTTTCTCATGGTCCACATTATAATTTGTGTATTTACATGCCTGCCTTTCTATATACTGTATTTCTTTTTTGAAGGCATAGTCATATATATGTATATTTATGTTTCTGGGATCTAGCATGTACTAGATACTCAACTTATGATTATTGACTGTATGAGTTTACATGGATGAGTAAATATGTTTTAGAGTAGTTAAGGACAATAATTAATAGTAATTCCATTTTCTAGCAATTTTAAAACTAAAGTAGAATCTACTAATGTATAATATATTCAGAAAGCAAAAAGTCATGATATATTCAATTATTAAACTGATTAGGATATATTTTTCTCATTTATCAAAATTATTGAATATATATGTAGTATTATTCAATATGAATAATTTCTCTTTTTATTCTGGCTACCTGGCCATTGTCGTATTCATAAAATAGTTTATTTCAGTAAAGAAATACATTCTGGGCCGGGCACGGTGGCTCAAGCCTGTAATCCCAGCACTTTGGGAGGCCGAGGCGGGTGGATCACGAGGTCAAGAGATCAAGACCATCCTAGTCAACATGGTGAAACCCCGTCTCTACTAAAAATACAAAAAAATTAGCTGGGCATGGTGGCGCGTGCCTGTAATCCCAGCTACTCAGGAGGCTGAGGCAGGAGAATTGCCTGAACCCAGGAGGCGGAGGTTGCGGTGAGCCGAGATCGCGCCATTGCACTCCAGCCTGGGTAACAAGAGTGAAACTCCATCTCAAAAAAAAAAAAAAAAAAAAAGAAATACATTCTGTTTATTCTCTTCCATATCTTTGAAAACAGAGATTGCATCATAGTCTTTATGTCATAGAGTTCAATTTAAGAAAAAAAGAAGGCAGTTTTTCATTGCCTATTTGTGTGTGACATTCATACTCCATTCTTAAATAAAGAAGAGAGATGCTGGGAGGTATATACTTTGTATTGCCTGATAGCTTGGAGACAAAATAAAAACGTTGGTGGTCCCTGTAATGCTGGCTTGAAGTTATGGAGAAACACTTTCAGTATAAAACTTAGGTTGGAAAAGAGTTTTTGAGATAACAGTTCTGTACATTTCTGTACATGTCATTACTATTGTCTTATAAAGACTTTGAAAAATTAGGATGCTTTGTTCAGTTTCAGGTTATGCAAATGTTAAGGCCTGGAATTGAGTCAGATAAAGATGTAATTCTTCCTTTCTGAAATTGTGTTTACTGCCTCAGTATTTTGGAGAAATAAACTAAATGCCTAGGAATGACTTCCAAACAACTGTAAGTGGTATGAATCCTTAAAAGTTTATTTATTCTTGGAATATTTCACTCAGTGTTCAGAGTGCACTACAGGTAGACTTTCTTATGCACACATATATATTTATAAAATATTGTCAGATTTCTAATCAATGTAAGATTGAGACACAGATTGTTTTAAGTCTATGAAAAAGGCTGATTCTGTCGTTTCCGTCTCTGAAGCTTTCATAATCTTGCCAAGCAATTAAGAACATCATTTGATTGTCATATAATCTTCAAAAAGTTGAAAGCAATGTGAAAGTCTGATTCTGACATGAGTGAAGAGGCAGTCCTGAGCTTTATTATTATTGTTAGTTAAATTTTCATTTGTCTCCTTTATTGTTTTTCTTTTTTTTTTTTTTTCAACTTGACTTTGGAGGC